TACATCTTTTTAAACGCCACAACTTTTATCTGAAACATTTTTTTCTAAAAGGTACAACATTATTGATCATTCGGCTGACAGTTTGAAATGTCCAGTCTTTATTGAATTTAAAAAAGTTAAAATCATTATGGCCAAACTTGGTCTTAGAAATTCAGACGCAATTAATACCTATAAAAAGTACTCCAATGAGATACCAGAAGATTGGTACAATTTTAAGACAACTTCTACTAACAGTCTTCCATCTTTTGGCTCATTCTTAAATGCTTTTTACCCTTCTCAGACAAATAGTGGTTCATTTACTTTCAATTCTAATTGTAGTAATTTGTTCAACTCTAATGATTTTCCTCCTCTTCCCTCGCAATCCAAAACTTTTAATCTTGGATTGCGTGGGAGAGGTAAGATAGATCTAAAGAATATAACTAAAGATAACAAATCCTCTTCTTCCTCAGTGATTTCCCCTATTACCAACTCTTTGTCTTCGGGCGTTAATTGGTCGGGTAATAATAATAATAATAACTCTAATTCTAAGAGGTTCACTTCTTTCTATACTTCTTCTCCTGTCCTGTCGGAGCATCACTCTCAGCCTCCTCTCTCTCTCCCAGAAAGTCCCCCTTCCCCTCCTTCTAAACTATCCACCAACCAGGAACCTCAACCTCATTCCTTAACTAGTTTTAAATCCACCAATGATACTTCTCAATCTAACCATCTCAAGACTATAGCATCTTCTTTCAATTCGTTACTTCAAAGCCTTATTTTTTCCACTGATAACATTAGCATGCAATCACAACTTTCAGCTATTTCAATTCAACTTAATTCAATTATATCTTCCTTATCCCCTGAATTATCTTTTAGTTCTCTTTAAATTTTTTTTTGGGCTGACGTAATTAATATGTCTGACAAACAGTTTTCGATTATTCAGTGGAATTGCAGATCTATTAGGGCCAGAGAGTGTGACCTATTCAATTTTATTGAGAAAATGGATAACCTGCCTATTTTCATTTGCTTAAGTGAAACATGGCTGTCGGATGACTCTAAAATAACTTTTAATAATTACAACTTTATATCCGCCAACAGATCTCGAGTCGGCGGTGGATGTGCCATACTAATCAGAAAAGATGTGAGCTTCCTTAAGATTGAACTTATGGATTCATTCCTAGTTCGTAATGCTCATATGCGCTTGGAAACTGACATTTGTGGAATCAAATTTAACTGTGCCGGTAAAACTTTCCATCTATTTTCAATATATAATCCTCCTCTGTCCTCGAATTGCACCTCTGCAGCCACTCGTGATATTTGGATTAATCTTATAAATCATCTAGAAACATATCATAATGTCATTATCTGCGGGGATATGAACGCTTTGCATGGCTCTTGGAGTTATTCAACTCTTCATCCAAATATCATGGGTAATGTCATCTATGATGCTATCACTAATTCTGATCTCATTATCATGAATGATGGTTCCCCTACCTGGTCATCCTTGGACGGCGGCTCTTGTAGCTCCCCAGATTTATCCATAATTTCTCACTCGCTGGCGACTATGCTTGAATGGCATGTATTCGATAACAAACATGGTAGTGACCATTTTCCTATTCACATTTTGTTTAATCTCACAGCTCCTGATAAAGTTCTCTGACTACATTATGTAGACCACATTATGTTACTTCAAAAATTAATTGGCTCATGTTTTCAGACAGACTGGGTGAAATTTCGGCTCCTCTCCGTAAGGATATTTCTTCACATGTAAATATTATCAATCCTCTGGCCTCATATGAGGAACTTATTAAACATATTAATGTATCTCTTCTGCATGCTGGTGCTAAACAGGCACGGCATTCTGGAATGGTCAGAAGACCCCCATCTTGTTGGTGGGATATCCAATGCACCAACATTGTTAAGT